TCACGTAACTTCCAGCACGAGACTTGTGGGAGAAGATAAAACCGAACCTGGAGGTGTCATGATAACTGCCATTGGACAACTAGACTTTAGATCTTGGAAACTTGAAGAAGAGACTTACTGAGCTTCATCCTCATAGTACAGACATCGTGAAAATAAAGAGTCTTAAGAAGCTTAATCTTAGATTCTCAAATGGCTCACAATAAAACACTCCCTTAGAAAGACATTAAGAGAACAAGAGGAGTTTGCTATAATTTAACTAAATGACCTGAAATTAAGGCCTGTATCACTGTCCTTTTTCTTTAGTGATTCATGTTATTGCTGAAATCCATGTTTCTTAAGTATAACCTAACAGAATATGCTTTTGTAGTTACTTTCAGTGTTTAATTAATCTGAATGGCATATCATATGTTCACGAATACCTGGAGCCTTAATACTTGAACAGCTCTGTTTTAGAAGCTGAGGAGAGAAGACACTGAAATTGGAGCTGGCGGAAGTCTTGCTGATCGGGGAGAATTATGCATTACAGAACCACTAAAAACAATAATCATTGAACCCTTCTTGTGTATCAAAGAACTTAGGAAATTAAGATCCACAAAATGGTTACACTGGTCTACTTTCGAAAGAGATGGCTTGCCGGGGATGTAGCTCAGTGGCACAGCACCTGCCTGGCAAGCTCAAGTTCCTGAGTTTGACTCCCGTATAAAAAAAATAAATAAATAAATAGAAAATAAAAACAGAGATGAGCAAGGACTCCTTTTGGCTATTTCTCATCCTTCTAGATTCTCCTTGCCAAATCTGTTCCCTTGTGCTGGCCATATTCAGTAATTAAACATCTAGCTACATCTGTTATTCCTAAAACCAAGAAGAGGTCAAAATGGGGTACCAGTTTTGTCCAACCAAGTTATGACCTGTCCCTAAGCTCCCGCCACCATTTCTCCTAGATTCTGGGGGTCTTTGCTCCAAGTACCATGGAACTCTGGCACCTGTATTGGGGGCAGGAGGTAACAGCTGGGGAAATTAATACTCTGTGTCTCTAGGTTATCTGAGGGACATCAGCCTCCTCACCACCTCATTCCTTTCAGCCCTGTTTTGAGATTGAGGACCTACCCTGTTTCCTTTTATTCCAGAGAAGAGTTTCTCAGATAACTCTGCTCATCTTTTCAGTCTCTTCTCCCACCCTACTCCCCCAGCTTTCGTCATTAGGTATAATATTTCTGCCATTAGCTATAAATAACCTGGCCTGTCCACTTCCTATCCCCCAGGGTGAGCTTGTCTGATCGTCACTCCTCCGGCTCCTGTTTAATTCCTTTCCTCCTTCCCCAGGGCCCAGCCAGCATCATGAAGCACATTCCAGCAGCTCCAGGGAAGCACATACTGGTAGAAGAAGCAATTAATGTGGATATTTCTGCAAGCTGGAAATTCTCATAATTAAAATTTCTTTTTGCAAGATCTCAGGAGTTTAAATAAGCCTTAGGGGAAAAGAACACTAACACCTTATCAGGCAATGTGATCAATAGAAACAGATGAACTTGGTAGTATAGGCCTGAAATTTTACTCTAGGGCTTAATTATCAGATATAAATATTTCTGTTGACTAAAACAACATGATAAGCTCGCTATATTCATTAACTCTTTGCACATTCAGAAAGTCTCCAAGAGCAGTAACAGTTACAATCAGCTATGTAATGAAAGTTAGTTTTGAGATAATGACTTTCCTAAGCTTAGCAAAGATAAGTCCTAATAGAAACAGCAGCCATTCATTAAAGGAATGCATTATTGTTTGACAATACAAATTAAAGAAACTGAAGAATATTAATTGATGGGCAGTACTCACTATGGAGATATTTATTAATATTATATCTTAGAAAACCAAACAAATTTGCAATGCAATTATCATAACAGGAAATGTAGAGATGGCATCTTCCTAAACCCAGACAATGAAACATTTGTCAAATCCAACATTATCTTCTTCTCTATCTGAAGCAAGAAAGTACTGGCTAACATTTAGACTCCTCACAAAACAATACATTGAACTTCACTCACCAAGAGAAAGGACAAACATGTTTTATAAATGTGACAGACTTGTCCATATAGATAAATGCAAGCTGACAAATTGCCCACAGAAGAGCTAATACATTAACCTATTTTACAAAAAGCTGGCTTAAATGTTTAGCTTTCTGAAGTTCCTCAGGAAGCCAGACCACCATGAAAGAAAAAAGGTTTATTTGGAAAAAAAAGATGGGCATTCTTCAAAATCGGGGGTTGCAGGGAGTCTAAATGTTAACTATAATCATTATAAATATACAACTCATGTGCTGGGATTTAAAAATTAAAGCTACTCTGCAGTTTGCTGCCCCATTTTTCTCTCTCTCTCTCCCTCTCTCCCTCTCTCTCTCTCTCTCTCTCTCTCTCACACACACACACACACACACATGCGCGCGTGCATGCACGTGCACAATTCATTGCACCAAAGCACACAAGTACTGACATTTACAACCATGAAGAACTGCCAAACAACTTTTCAGAGGCCATCAGTTTGTCCATACCAAACATTCCTTGCAAGATTTCTACTTCCTTGAACAAACTTCTCCATATAATCTAACATGGGGCTAATTCTCCATTTAAAAATTACTAACAATAAGTCTCTTCACACAAGTGAGAGACCCTATTGCCCAAGGGATAGACCAAGCAGTAGATTGGCTCTAGCACCTTGTTAGAAAATACAAGCTAGGCTAACTGTCCCCAAAAGAAAACAGTCCTTTAGGGAAAATGATCTCATCCCATAAATTTCAGAAAGCATATAACTTTTAGAACGCTTTAGTAAGCAGATGTCCTAAATGTTCAGTTCACAGGATCTATTTGGGCCTGTGATCAGAATCTCTTTGGGTGAAACAATTCAGTGCAAACAACAGAGCCACTAAAAACAACACTTAGCAATTCCAAAGTGCACATAATAAATAGTATAAGCAGGGGCTGGGGGTTTAGCTCAGCGGCAAAGCACTTGCCTGGCAAGCGCAAGGTCGTGAGTTCAGTTCCCAGTACCGGAGAAAAACAAAAAAAAAAAAAATAGTATAAGCACATTGTACCTGGAAAATGCTTAACCACAGACCCAGAAGACCGAAATAATCAAAGAGTGAGTGAAAAAAGGAAAAGAAGGCCAGCTAGTACAAAAATTAAATTTACAGAGTGTTATTTCAGGGTAATTCGGACCACTCAGGCAACCAGCCAAATTGCTTCTACAATTCTATGAGACTGGACAAAAACAAGTTTCCTTGACTTAGTCAACACAGACCTCATTTTGCCAGATAATTAGTTTGACTCACTTCGTGTTTCACTCTGCTTGTGGGAGCAGTTCACAGACACACGAATGCACTTGGGTGATGCTTGCCGCCTGGGTCTAGAGCCGTGGAAATGAAAGGAAATGGGCTAAACCTGCTACCCCTAATACATCTCACTGAAATCATAGTCCCTGTTCACTATTGCTTTATCTGTAGCAATCTGCCTTTGAACGCTTATTCACAACAGCTACCTTGATATCAGAGTTGTTTTTAATGTATCAACAATGACAGCAGCTGCCTCTGATGGAATGCTTGCTGTTTCCCAGGCAGCATGTTGCGGTCTTCATTCATTCATCCAACTATTGTTTGTTAAATATTTACCATGTGACAACTGTTCCAGGTTTTAGGGTATGGTCTGAATAAAACAAAGACCCTGCTGTCATGGAACATTCTTTCCAGTGAGTTAAGGAGGACAGAAAAGCAAATACAGAATGCATCAGATGGTGATAGGGGCTATGAAAAGCAAAGTGGCATAAAGATTCCAGGTGGTGAGGGTGAGGTCCTGATGAAGCCCATCAGGAATGTACCTGTGGTCATCCGTTTTGTAGACTCATTGCAACAGGGAAGAGACATGTCACTGGGATCTGGCAACTAGGTAAGAGAGTGCTCAGAGGACTGGTTATAAAATTTGGTCTGTCACAGATGATTTGAGGGACAGCTGAAGGAAGCAGAGGTCTGCCCTGGATTGATAGTGTCAGGAAGCAGGAGTAATTCTATGACTGGGTATCTTAATTCTAATTTAAGGGTAAGAAGAATAATGCAATGACTTAGACAACGCTCTTGTTATTATATGTATTTGGACATTATAAACGGGCCTTGTTTTTTTCTTGATCTATCATTTTCACAGAGTGGCCCTATCAGACATTGGTGTCCCATGAAATTGTTCAACAGGAGAATGCCACTGCCAAACTGTGTATACCAGGCTGGCTTCCTGAAATCAGGGGCTGCTTTTTCTCTTAAATGCTTAATCTGCATTTGACCTCCCAAGATTACTATCACTATTTTTTCTTATAAATGAGTGAACTAAAACCCGGATACGTAAAGGACTTATCCTGGAGCAAGTAACTAAGAAATCCAGCATTCAAATGCAGAGGATCTGAGTCTAGCACCACTCCTTTACTCCACACACAAAATGCTGCAGGGCTGCACCTTTTGAATTCTTTGGCAAAATATTACCCTTGAAGTGGCCACAGGAAGGGTCTCAGTGAGAAGTCAGATAGTAAACAAAGCCTGGAGGGAAAGCTTTGTTTACCATCTGCCACCAGCAGACCTCTCAATACCCAGGCCAGACGTTGTGTGAGTATTAAGAAATGAAGTCTACATGGGCAGCATCAAAAGAAAAGTATGGGCTGGGGATGCGTCCAGTGTTAGAACTCCTGTGTGGCAAGCATAAGACCTTGGGTTTGGACCTGAGCAAGAGAGAAATATTTTTCTCCCAGAGATGAGGAAACACCTTCCATATCATATAAATTAGAAGGTTTATTTTTCAATAACTTAATGAAAGTGGTTATGAACTCTAACCAAACCTTTAGATACTGGAACAAGTATGTTAATATAATGCATAAGTAATGTCCTAGCATGTAAACTACAAAGCAATTAGCATTTATTTTATCCCATATTTTTAAAAACATCCCTCTTCCATAGCAATGAAGATCAGGCTTACCAAAAGGTTTTCTGGCTTGAGGTCCCGGTGGACAATGTTCTTGTCATGCATGTGGACAAGGGCCTTACATAAGTCCATGATCAAGAGGGCTGCATCAGGCTCGGGGAACTTCACACTTTCTATGATGGCATCAAAAAGGTCCCCTCCCTGCACATACTCCATGATCAAGTAGATTTCCATTTCCATTTCATATACTTCATGCAGTTTCACTATGTTGGGGTGAGAGAGGCTCTGGATGATTAAGATTTCGCTGTCAATAATATCCTCCTTACCCTTGAGTTTGGACTTGTCGATAATCTTCATGGCATAGACCTGCCTGGTCTCACGGTGCCTGCACTCCTTCACCACGGCAAAATTCCCATCCCCGATGACCCGGCCAGTCTCATAATGCTTCTCCACGTCTGCTGTGATGATGCCCACAGGTCGCAGCTTCCGCCCACTGGACCGTTCTGGCTTGCTCTCTTCTGGCCTGGTCTTGGGCTCCTTCTCTACCCTTGCAAGGGGGTCATCTCTGACAGTCATCTTCCTCCCTCCTGACACACCTGACTTCTTCTCCTTTTCTGCCTCCTTTTCTTCCCCTCGGGTTTTAGAGAGCCTCTCCAGCTCAGTCTGGTGTTCTCTCAGGAGACAGGTACCATGTTTGTTCTTGCAAACATGCCTGATGTCTTTCTTTACATCCCTGGGCCCCTCTGTCACGGCAGGAGCTTCGGTGAGCTCCTTCTTGATCTTGGCTGCTCCCTGAGGATGGCTTGCTTGATCCTCTGGGACTCTGTCCTCTCTCTTGTCTGTGTTCTTGCTGGGCCTGTTCAGCTCGTGAGTGGGACTCCTGGGACTGCTCTTATGGTTGTCACCCTTCCGTCCTTCCCCACCATGTGCAGGGTTTGCCTCTGGAGACTTCCTGCAGCTTCTCGTCCTCACCAGTTTCTCCACATCATACCTCTGGCACTTGCCTATGTCCAGCTCACTGGCCCCCAGGGAGGGCCTCTCCCGCTGCAGGCTCTGCTGGAGCTCCTGCTCTCGCTTGCACTTCTCGCATCGGACAATCTCCCCAGAGGTCTGTTCAATCTCCAACCCCAGGTGCTTCTCTCCACTTGCATGCCCCTCCTCCCGAGTGGTTTCTCTGGGCAGCTTGCTACCAGGTTCAGGCTCCCGTTTCCCTCTCACCCACTTCTTCTGGGCCCTCACTTTGTTTTCTAGCGCAGGCTCCACAGCGGACTTTCCCTGACTCCTGATGACTGCCTTGCTCTGGGCAGGCTCACTGCCGCTCCCAGCTTCCCCACAGTGGTGGCCCCCTTTCAGAACCTTGCTATAAAATCTGCTTCTCAGTCTTGGAGAAGGGGCCCGGCTGTGCTGGGTCAGGGTCAGGGCCCGGTTTTTGTTAGGATACAGTTCCTCAATGGCCATCTGAATGTTCTTCAACGTTAAGGGTTCTTTGCCCATAGCTATGAAAGCATCCCCTTCCCGGAGGAAATCAGAGATACTCCTGATTTCTCTACCCTTGAGGTTAAACAGCTTCCTCACACGATCATTCTTCCATCTTGGAAAGCCCAAAGCTTCTGAGATGTCTGCTAGGAGCTGCTCGAATGTCTGCACCGACCGCTTGTTGAGGAGCATGGTGACTTTACGGAGGGGCTGCCCACCCAGCCTCACCACGGTCACAACCCTGGGCTTCAGTGGGCTGTTCTCAGAATGGACCGAGTGAAGGCCATTCTGAGGGCTGAACATGGGCACAACAGAGCCACGGGGGCCCAGGAGTGATTTCTCTGGATTCCCTTGGCCAGCAGGAAGCCAGGTGCTCTGTAGTTTTTGCTCTGTGATTTTGGAGCTTAAATATTTTAGAGAATTGTCACATAGGCCTCGATGTCCTGAAAGAGGAAAAAGACAACAGAGTATTAGCCAGGATGAGTTCAAAGAGCCCCTCACACTTCAGTCAACTTTACTAAAGATCACCAATCTGCTATTGCAGTTTATAAGCATGGCTTCTGTGGCTCTGCTTGTTGGAGCCTTTCTATTTTCAACCTGACCCCAAGTCTCCTCTGTGAGAGATCTGCAGTGCAGACCAGTCAGCACTGGTCTAAGGCGGCTCCTTGAGCCTGGCAACCTGCCCCCAAACGGGGCATGCACTGGAAGCCCTCTCAAGGCAAGGCCTGGCCCTGTGAACACAAAGGAAGCTGAGCTTTAAGCCTCTTGGACTGAGATCAAACACCCATGGCTTGCTGCGCAGGAAACAACACAGAGCCAGAATACCCTGGAATTTTACAGGATTCAGATTTAACTCACCTCTTTGCCCAGAGCAGTTTTCTTAGCTAAAACTTCAACTCACTCAAGGTAAGACAATATGGCAACAGATAATGATCACAAGGTTTGAGACAGACCTATGTTTTAATTTCAAAGTAGCCACTAACTTGAAAATATCACTCATGTTTCAGTGTTTTCATTCATAAAGTAGAAATGATGACATGTTCTTCTCAGAGTTTTTGTGAAGAATACTACACTTGATCTTATCCAAAAGGCCGAGAAGTGATTTTGTGAAGAATAAATGAGAAAGTGGTTATAGTGCACTAAACAGAGTGCCTCACACATAGCAAGGACACATAGAGTAATTTCCAGTTATCAGTGCTCTATTTATAATCTTATTATCTATTTTTACTGTAATTTCATTTAATTAGTGGCATAATTTACTCAAAAAGAATGCACAGCTTCACCTGGCATCCAAAGAACTGCTAGGCCAACCTAATACAGTGGATATTACTCTCCTGCATTAGAGATTGGCATAATAAAGCTGAAGGTTGTTTCAATCTAAGTATAGATTGGTTTTTTTCTCACCTTATTAAAATAAAGACAAGGTCAAGAGTGTAGCTCAGAATATTTTTTAGCATGTGCAATCCTTAGCACTGGAAAAAATAATAAATAATAAAGCAACCAATACTAGGTTAAGGTTATGGTTCAAAGCTTAAATAATGAGAATGTGCATGAATAAAATCAGACTTTGTATTTCCTGATCAACTGTACCAGCCAGAATTAAGTGGTTCAGCTTTTCCAATTTCTATCTAAGTCAGGAAAGAAATCTGGAAAAAAAAATAGAACATGTAACTCAGCTAAACCATGAGCATGGACTAAGAATTATTAAAGTTACCCTACAGCTCTATATGTCAGACCCTGCACACAGGAATCTGCCACTTATGCTTCCTGTAAGAAAAAGTTAAAAGTAAGTAAGTATATTTGAATCAACTGTAGCAGAAACTCTAGTCATGCCAGGATGGGCAGTTTGGCCCAACGCATCCATATAGAATGTTTTTTCTGGGTTTCTTTTTTTTCGTTTAATTATAATGTACAATCCGTTCTGAGAAGACTTCCATCTAGACACAGGTGTCAGATCAGATGACAAGGTAGTGGTTGATACTGATCTTCCCACATACTACAAATTTATGTTCACAGCTAAAGGATTTATTTGTGGATATCTGTTATCTTTTTTCTTCTCACAATCTCTCAAATTTTTGTCTGAGATAGTTGAGGTGGGGCAAGCAAACTGGAACACTGATACTAGTTTGTTTTTCCGGCATGGAGGAATTGAGAAATGGTGTCATGGAAGGTAACTCAAACATGTGTTTACAAAATGCCAGTGCTCTCATTCATTCTCTTTCTGGTGCTTCACAGCATGTAGAATCCTTGATGTGTATTTGTCAAACTAAGCAAATGAGGTTTTAATAATTTTCTCTGAGAAGACATGGTATAGGGACGAGAAAAGGTATCTTAGCCAGCATCCCGGACTACGGCTTTTTTAATCAGAAGTGAGGTAAGACAGGGGGACACCAGGAATCAACAGCTAGTTGAGGCCAGAAAAAGGCAGACCCATTAGAAAAACTTAGAAGCATCAAGAGATAGATCAGATAAAGTACCAGGAGAAAGAGCAACAAAGAGTGCTCAAAAGACAGAGCTGAGTTGAGCCTTCAACTCTAGATGAGGTAGAGGCATCTCCAGTAGAGGGAACAAGGAACCACTGCAAGGGGCTGGATAGTTTGTTCATGTGGCTACCAAAGTTATCAAAAATGAAGATAAAACTCAAGGTGAGACAGAAGGTGTTGGTAATACAGAAATATGACCAGACAGTCACTATATACAGTAATTGCTGGATGATATAAGCCTAGTAGGGGATATTATAAGACAGAAAAAAAATAAGAGCAGAAAAGAAGCCCCAAGAATCTAAATTCTGAGCCCTATCTTCCAAATCCATAGTCCCTCAAAGAGAAACATTTTGTACTCTAGAAAAAAAAAGAGGAGCAGGATTCTCAGGGGATAATCAGGAGGACAAAGCATTCAGTGGATACATTAAGAATGCTGTGAAATTGTGCATAGAACAAGATTAAGGAATATCCCACAGAAAGGTCTTGAGTAGGGTGTCAGGGAGATACGAAGCCATACACTGATGGGCCTTGCATACTGTGGGGTGACTTAGGATCACAAAGATGCAAGCCACAATAAAATCAGAGGCCTCAAGATTCCAAACACTGGAACTATAGCATCTAGATGGGATGATGGGTGATTTGGTGGTGCCCATTGTTGGGCCAGGAGAAAGAGGAGATGTTCTCTTGAGATGGCTAAGCCAGTTTGTACCTCAAAATTTGCCCTGAATTCTCACAGTTAGGACAACCTGTAGCATCTCATTGCTTAACTAAGACAAGGTTCCACAAGAGGAACTCTAGAATTCATCCTCCATTGGCTGGGAATGGCGCTTCCAGTGGGAAGGGTGAAGACACTGCCAGCAGGAAGAGTGTAAGCCTGCATCGTGCACATCCTCCATTGCTCCAGGTTGGCAGTGCCAGCAGGAGGAAAGTAAACCCACACCCTGAGCTCCCTCCATGTCCAGGAACAGCAGTTCCATTGGGAAGGGTGAAGGCAGTGTCAGTGGGAAGAGTGTAAGCCTGTGCCCAAAGAGTCCTCCATTGCACCAGGTTGGCAGTGTCAGTGGGAAGAGAGTAAGGCCACACCCTGTGCCCCTTCCATTTTCCCAGGACAGTGGCTCCAGCAGGAAGAGTATAAATCTGTGCCCTGTGAGTCCTCCATTTCCCTGGGTCAGCAGTGCCAGAGGAAGGAGAGTAAGCCTGTGACATGCACCCCATCCATTTTCCCAGGATGGCAGTTCCAGTGGAAGGAGTGAAGAAGGTGCTTGGGAGAATTGTGAAGGCAGTATCAGTGATAGGGTTGTAAGTCCATGCCTGGTGTTTTCTCCATTGACCTAGGATAGTGGTGACAGTGAGAGAAGTGTAAATTCACTCTGCTTCCTTCCTCCATTGCCCCAAGACTGTGGTGTTGGAAAGAGGAGACATCTCCTAGGAAATAACAGACACCTCCTAGGAAAGCCTCAACATCAGTGATTAAGGCTATCTAATAGCAGAAAGCCAAAAGCATCAACACAGAAAACAAAATAAAGTAAAACATAGAAAATAACAAGACAAAGAAGCAAAATACAATCCCAAACATCCAGCCCACCCTGGACAAGTCCAGAACACAAAGAGATACAGGAAATCAGAAATCAACAAATAGAACTCTCCAAAATGGCAGCACCAGAAGTGAAAAAACAAATGGAAGAGGCCACAGAAAAAATAATCTCTAAGGTACAAAAAGAAATCACTATCAAAATAAAAGACACTAAATCAGACACAGATAAACAAATAGTGGAGCTCAGGAAAATGATGGAAACCATGAATGAAAACAGACAATGCAATCAATGAAGCAGATCCAAACAGAAATGCAGAAGATTAGAAACTTCACTGAAAGAATACGCATTAGACTGAATGAAGGGGAGAACAGAACATCAGATCTAGAAGATAGGAACACAACTAATGACCAGGGAAAGAAAGATATTTTAAGTCAAAAGAGACCACAAAAAATTAGTCCAACAACTACAGGATGAAGTAAAGAAGAAAAACATAAGACTGACTGGAATCACTGAAAATGCTGGAGACAGCACAAAAATGATTAAAAGCCTCCTCATAGAAATAATGACAGAAAACTTTCCAAACATGGATAAAGAATTTGACATACAAATAAATGAAGCACACAGAACTCCAAATAGCCATCACCAAAATAAATACACACCAAGGCATATAATAATCAAGATTCCAGAAATAAAATACAAGAACAAAATATTAAAAGTAACTAGAGAAAAGAAACATATCAACTATAAAAGAAAGCCCATCAGAATCATAGCAGACTTCTCAATACAAACCTTCAAGTCAAGGAGAGCTTCAAGTGAAGTATTTCAAGGCCTAAAGGAAAACCATCTTCAACCCAGACTAAAATATCCAGCAAAATTATTCTTCAAAATTGATTTAGAAATAAGATACTTCCATGACAAGGAGCAACTGAAGACATGTATGACCACTAAATTAGCTCTACAGAATGTTCTAAAAGAAATATTAGAAAGAGACAACAAAGACCACATATACACGAACACCAATAGAAAAAAGCCACAAGACAGGGCAAGCAGTTAAACAGAGCAGAAAGACAGGGAACAAACAACAGGGGGAAGAAAACAAAACAGGGAAACAACATGGAAAAGAAAAGCCTATGTATATCAGTTATAATCATCAAAGTAAAAGGTCTCAACTTACCAACTTAAAGAAACAGACTGGCAGAATGGATCAAGAAGTAAGAGCCAACAACATGTTGCATTCAAGAAACACATTTAACCCAAAAAGAAATTCAAAGGCTAAAAGTCAAAGTATGGAGAACAATTCTCCGTGCCATAGGAACCCAGAAAAAAAGCAGGGGCAACAATTTTATTTGCAGGCAGTGCAAACTTTAAGCCAAAACTGATCAAAAGAGACAAAGAAGGTCACAAAAAAACAAAAGACAGACAAGA